CAATTCAAACCCTTTCCACGCTATTTCCTGGATATTTAACAATACTTTTTCAAAAGACAGTAGACTGTGGCTTACAATTTACAGAATGTCTAGTCATAATTTATACTGTAATAAATGTATTCCTAGGTTAGAACTTGATGTAGTTTCTAGCATGGTCATAAAAGGGGACAACTGTAATTTGATATTTTCCTCTTGCTTTGTTATAACATTTGGGAGAGTAAAATTTCAATTTTAATACTTGACCTCAAACAAAATTGCCGTATTGTTGGGGGAAATGCAAAGACATGGGTCAGTTTAGCCTAGTGATTAGAGCACCAGGCTAGAATACAAGGAGTAGGTTCAAGACCTACTTTAGGTATAAAGGCCAGCTGGGTGGTTATGGGCCAGCCCAACTCACAGAGCGGTTGTTGTGGGAAAAATAAAAGTGGGGAGGAATAGAGGTAGTCCTCAACTTATGACCACAATTGAGCCCATTTTATTAAGTGAGTTTTGTCCCATTTTATGACCTTTCTTGCCACAGGTGTTAAGTGACTCACTGCAGTTGATAAGTTAGCAACTCGATTAAGTGAATATGACTTCCCCATTGACTTTGCTTGTTGGCAGGTAGTAAAAAGTGATCATGTGACCTTGGGCCACAGCAATGGTCATAAATATGGACCAGTTGACAAGCATCTGAATTTTGATTCTGTGATCATGGGGATGCTGCAATGATTGTAAGTGTGAAAAGTGCTCATGTCACTATTTTCAGTGCCTTTGTATCTTTGAACGAACTGTTGTAAGTCGAGGACTACCTGCATTGGGGATGTTTGCCACCTTGAGTTATTTATGAAAATGATAAAAGTGGGATAAAGATTAAAATAAATAAATAAAAATAAATAAGCAGTTAAGATCAACTGAATAGTTTAGGAGCAGTAGTGATATTCAAAATTGTTTACTACCGGCTTGGCTTGATGAGCGTGGCTTGGTGGGTGTGGCATGGAAAGGATACTGTAACATCTCCATTCCCTCCCCACTCCAGAGGAAGGTTACTGCAAAATCCCCATTCCCTCCCGATCAGCTGGGGCTCCGGAAGCAGAGAATAGATGGAGGCCGACCAGTCAGAGGTGGTATTTATTGGTTCTCTGAACTACTCAAAATTTCTGCTACCGGTTCTCCAGAACTGGTCAGAACCTGATGAATACCACCTCTGTTTAGGAGACAGAAATCAGTCTCAGGATGCTTAACACATAATTCAAGGGACACCAAAACAAAATAATTTGGAGAGATGGCAAGTTTCCAATTTATCATTATGAATTGGCCACATATTAATAAATCCACAGCTTCTGCGGAAGAAAGTGAGGCAAAAATAGAGCTTTATTGAACACATTGTTATCCAGATAAACTTCACGGAAGGAAGTTTGGGGTGCCAAATTAGCCTCTTAAATATTAGTAATTGTGTGCCAAGAGATTTCCCCCCAAAATAACATGATTGATTTTTATGACCTAGTGACCTGGCACGCTTTAGGGTAAGTGGTGATTGATCAGCATTTCACATTACATCATTTGGCAGAAAAATATATTGCTCCCCGTTTCCTGAAAATAAGACCTCCCTGGATAATAAGCCCAATTGGGCTTTTGCGTGCATGCGCTAAAATAAGCCATCCCCCCAAAATAAGCCGTCCCCCAAAAATGATATGATATGATGCCATTGTTTCTGGTTATGCTTGCTTGTTTCCTTCCCGGTTTTAATCCTTAAAAAAAAAGAACACACCTCGAATAGCTATCAATCTTTTATTTCAACACAATTCTGTATCTCTGTCCGACTGCAGCTTTTTAATACTTCAGTAAGACAGACAGACAGGGTCGGCCTAAAACCAGATCTAGTGATAAAGTGCGATAATCCCTCGTCGTTTCTACTCCTATTTGATCCGAAGAGGCGCACTTAGACCACCACAGGCCTTTTTCCGAATTCCAAAAGTCTCCCCAGTGGTTCAAAGAAGTATAAGTCCTCCTCTCCCTATCTATTCACGCGGGAAAAATAAGGGCCAGAGTCTTCACACGTTACACCTGTTACACCGGTGTGTGGTGTTTTCTTGCGGCTTCTCAGCCCCCCACCCCTCCCGATCACGCACACAAAGCTTGACTGGGGTGGCGGTATGATCCCTCTCCTCCACTCCGCCTTTTTTTCCCCGCTCTCCCAATTTTCCCATCCGTTTGCGGGCTAAAGTCACTCGCCCCCAAAGAGGAGCAAGGTTGCTCTCTCCGCTCGGATAGACGCCGGGCCAAGCCAACTGCAATTTTTTTCTCTTTCCAGAGGGCTGAAGGCGGCGGCGGCGGCGGCGACAGCTGCAACGCCCCCGCTTCCCATTCTGTTGCGCACGCACGAGCCCGGGTTGCTCTCACCCACATTCCTCGCCACCGGGTTCGGAGCCGAAGGAGGGAGGGAAAGAGGAGAGGAAGCGGGGAGTGCCGGGAGCGAAGCCTGGACCTCCACTAGCGGGAACCCCATACCCAACCACCCGCCCCCTGCCTTCCCAAAGACCCTTCCTCCCGTAGCTGTGCCGGCACCACTACCCCGCGGCCCTCCGGAAGATGCACCCTGGGAGAGCGCTCGCCTTTGCTGGCGCGCACGTTTGGGGGCCGGAGCCCGGAGTCTCCACCTCTTTCGGCCTCGGACTCCGCCCCGAAAGCTGGGGACGGCGAGTTGGGCTCGCGAAACGACGAGGTTGAAGAGGGCAGGAGGAGGAGGAGGCTGTGGCGGGCAGACGGGCTCCTTCGCCTTCCCCTGCCGCGCGGCAATTATTTCCATCCTTCTCCGAAGCGGGGAGGCTGCACTGAGGAAAGGGTGGCAAAGGCGGGCTTGTGCTGCAGCCGGGGAGACCCTCCAGCTTGCAGGCAATGGTCCACCCTCGCTGCCTTGCTCGTCCCCTCTTTCCCCCCCTGGCTTGGAAGCTTTTGTTCTCTCCAGTTCGGGGCATAAGAGACCTACCTGCCGCCGCCGCCGCTCCTGCCTCCCGACGCCAGGAAAGTTCGAGGAGAAAACCGCCTCGGGTCCGACCTCCTTTGGGCTGCGGCGCCTTCAATTTGGTGAGGTTTAAACCTCGGGCGGGGCCGGGCTGAAGGGGAAAAAAAGGAGAAGGCACGATGGGTCTAGGCAGAAGCGGCGGGACGAGCAGGCGAGCCAAGAGGAGTTTTGGGAGGAAGGGGGATCTCCCGCAAAAGCTGGCTCTGGGCAGTGGATCGGAGTGGGGATTGTGGGGGAGACGGACTTCTCTGCGAGCACTTCGGTATACTTTTCTCCGGAGTTGAGGTTCAGATCTCTCCTGCTGGCTTTTGGGGAGGGGACGACGACAGTGTAGATGAGTTACTCCTGAAGACTGTAAGGAGACCCACGCGCGCGCACCCAGACTCAAAGAAAGTTGAGAATTTAAAGCCCTCGGGTGATTTCGGAAAAGGTAATGAGCGAAGGAGGACTGGATCAGATATGGAATGCGAGGTAGGCGATCGTGTGATTGCGGTGCCTAGGCTGAGTTGCTTTAAAAGCGGGCAGCGCCGTTGGAGCGATCCGGATTCCTAAATTCCCAACCTGATTTCTAAATGGCGAGGTTTGGGTGAGGCTCGAAGTTCCTGGCGTCCTTCGGTCTGCCAAGGGCTACGTACCCGTGGATAAACCTCCGTGAAGTTTAAACGGTGTGATTTGATGTGTCCCAAGTTTGCGGCTGGCTTCCGCAACTAAGACATGGCTATTGGGGAACCTAACCTGCCTGTAATTAATTAGGCTGTATTAAACTCCAGTGATCGTTTGGTTATCATAGGTAATGAATAAAGTGCGCGCGCGCACGGGTGCACCTGTGATTTTTCTAAAGTGTTACAAGTTAAAAGGCATTTAAATAGAACGCCCCTATGTCTTGTAAAAACGTGTTTATTATTTCTGTGCAGATGAACTGATAATTGAGGAATGAAATTGTATTAATGTGTTCTGGTAAAAAAATGCTACAACTAGTTTTTTGTTTTTTGTTTTAAAAAAGCTTTCAAATTTCAAGGAGTTTTGCTGGCTATACAGAAATTTCCCATCTCTGAAAAAAATGGCAGGCTTGATCACATTTTTAGAGTTCTAAAATTTATATCTTAATTTCTTTCAAGAATCCTATGTTCCAGAAGTCTTGGTAAAAGTATAGGGATGCAACCAGAGCCAACAATTGTTTCATTAATCCTTTCCTCCTTTCCTCCTTGTTGGCATATTCCTTACTAATATGAATTATAACTACACAATTTGAATAACAAAACACTATTTTCCTAATGGTGTTCATACAGAAAAAGAGAAATCATCCAGAATCTTGGGTTCATATATAGCAGCCTTTCTTATCTTGATGTTCTCAAGATGTGTGATTATTATTTACACCAGTGTGTCTCAACCTCAGTCACTTGTAGATGTGCAGACTTCAATTCCAGAATTCCCCAACCAGCATTCCTGACTGGGGAATTCTGGGAGTTGAAGTTCGCACATCTTCAAGTGGCTGAGGTTGAGAAATACTGACTTACACCATCCCTTATAGTATCTTAGGGATGCAGGGAATAAGACGCTGAGCTTGTCGATCAGAAAGGTCGGTGGTTCGTATCCCTAGCACCATGTAACAGAGTGAGCTCCCGTTACTTGTCCCAGCTTCTGCCAACCTTCAGTTGAAAGCATGTAAAAATGCAAGTAGAAAAATACAGACCACCTTTGGTGGGAAGGTAGTAGCGTTCTGTGCGCCTTCGGTGTTTAGTCATGCCGCCACATGACCACGGAGACATCTTCGGGCAGCGCTGGCTCTTCGGCTTTGAAATGGAGATGAGCACTGCCCCCTAGAGTCGGGAACCACTAAGACATATGTGTGAGGGGAACCTTTACCTTTTTATACTTGAAGAGTGTCAGATTGGCAAAAGTCTAGAGTAGAAAGAGCTGCCTGTTGTCTTGCCAGCAAGAAAGAATAAAGTAATAACCCAAATTCAAATTTTCACCATCTCTTGATTATTTCTCATCACAATTTTCTTGTCTTCTCTTTCTTCTGAACTAGTTCAGCTGAATCATGCAGGACTGGACGTTCATAGTGTTAGCCAGTGTCTATATATACTTGTTTGGAAGTCAGATCAATGGGACATTTATGAAGGAGATAGTTTAAGAA